TTTACACAAATGGCCATTTGGAGCACGTACGTGCGCCTGTAAGTGTTGTTTTATTACTATACTTACTCGGTATAGATGTTCCGGGAGGGATGAAAAATAAAATAGTGACACAATCTACTTGTCTGCCCATTTTGGCGGGTAGCCTTGAGGTTGGGATTTGGATTTAGGTGTTAAACTTAAGTTTAGGATTAGGTTTACTTCACGGTGAGGGTAAGGGTTAAGGTTGGTTAAAGATTAATGCTTAATGCAAGGCTGGCGGTAAGGAAAGGTGAGAGGAAGGATCAAAGGTTAGAGAATGAATTTGTGGATGTGTTTAGATCCCACATTAGTAGCTTATTGAAGTCCCCTTTGAAAACGTTTTATTATCTAGTCGACATAAAATATGTAAATCTGTATTTTATTATCTCAGTCTGTTGTAGCTTCTAGACAAACATTTCATTCAACAAATCATGGCAAAGCCAACAATGACCTCATTGTGTCAAAAATAAGTGGATAGGTAGAATGCGTTTTGCCTGTTTTAAAATATATATAGAGATTTCTATTCCTAAGGAAAATGAAATGATCGCACAGTAACCTCTTTAACAATAGACATGTGCTGCCTCCTTGTGGCAGTAGTGAAATAATACAAAATGTCGACATTATCCCAATTAAATTTTCTATGATTGTATAGTTTAAAGCAATATGTTGCTATACATAATGCAATATTATGGTCAGTTGGTCAAAGTAATTGTCACATCTTCTTTTCAAACTTCAACAGCATTCAGGTGGAGGTCAAAGGCCGTGTGTCATGACCCCGCGAGAGCAGCTGAGGAAGATGACGGCGCTGGGAGAGCAAGGGGCTTTGGATGAGAAGCATTGGTACCGTCTGGTCAACGGCATGTCAGCTGGAGGTAAGAAATAATAACATGGAAGAGACGGCATGTCATGAAATAAAATATTAATAATGGTCTAAGGAATAGTCTAATTCAAACATTTGCTGATAACATAAACATTGTTCAACCCGGAGCCCCAAACAGTTTAAATCAACTTTGAGACCTCGAACGCCATGTATTGATTTCAGTGGATTGTTACGGCTGTCTCCAGATTTCACAGTCGGTGCACGATATTCAGCCCTGCTTCAGCTACACTGACCTGTTGGGCTTTTTTTTTCTTCTCTCGCAGAGCTGAGGCAGAGGCAAGAGATGATAATGAGGAACCAGATGGCCATGGCTCCACAGATCCTCTCCCAGGGCCAGCAGAGGTTACAGGGGGTCCCGGCGCAGTTCGAACCTCGCTTCATGGAGAGGTCTGTACCTGAATAAACATTCACCAGCGCATAGCTCTCTGGTGAAGGGCACCCCTGAAAGACATAAATACTTGAGAGAAACATCATGATTCTGTACAGTGAAAATGTTCTTATTGATAACAAAATATAACGTTACATTACAAAACAGCAATTATTACAACTCTTAATATCATGTCTTGACAGACTTTTTAACGCTTTTCCCTCATCAGAGAGATGGTTCCTCCCTCCGAGATGGTAGCGTCCGATGGAAGACAAATGCACATGAGCCCTCACCTTGGTCCACCTCTGCCTCCCCATGCCAATATGCTTCCTGGGAGAGCATTCCCTGGACAAGGTGAGCATGGCCCACTCCAGGTTTTTTTCTTTACCTGAGAGAATTTCCAGTCTTTTCTGTATGTCTTAGGAAATGTGACCAAGAGTTAACAGCTGGTCTGCCTTTTTGTTTTTCCTCAGCCGGCTACGGCTTCTTGCCCTCGGAGCCCATGGAAACAGTTGCCCGGCGACAGGAGTTCATTCACAAGCAAAATATAGCCAGGTAGTTCGTGCAGAAAGTCATCAGCATCATACAGAAACATTCCACCAGCACTCATAATGAGACCCGTACAGACAGTGTGAAAATGTGGCTGGTGTTGCTTAAAAATGTCTAATGTTATTGTGTTCTCCTGGTCAGAATGGAGATGAATGCCATCCTGCACCAGAAGGAGCTGGAGAATGCCCACCAGAAGGGGCTCATGGGAATGGACAATCCCATGGCGTACTCCTCCAACCCGATGGCGTTCAGAGGCCGTCAGCGCATGCCGGACGGCCATGACGTCTTCGTCCACCGTCCCACCATGGACGAACTGCACTCCAACAGCATCCTGATGTCGGCCAGCCCTTACCCACCAATCAGCACGCTGCACAGGGAGAGGGGGCGCAGGGCCGGCAGGAGGCCGAACGTCAGCAAGAGCACAGAGAGCCACGTGTCGCACCTGAAGGGCCAAACTGAAGACAAAGGGGTGGAGCAGAGCCCGGGAGCCGCGTCGGGGGAGGAGAAAGAGGCGGAGGCAAAGGGGGACATGGGAGAGGAGTGTCCCGTCGGCAAGCCGCATCATCAAGCGAAGATGGACGCTGAACTCTCTGCAGGAAGCAGGAAGAACTACAAAGAGGGGGAGGCGGGGCTGCGCAAAGCCTGCGCGAACAGTCAGGATGGGTCGGAGGCGGCCAACAGCGGTGCAAATGATAAGGACTTATCCAACCAATGTTCGGCTTTCCAGGAGAAATTCATGTACCCCCCGACTGGTGGAGCGCTCACAGGCATGCCCTACATGTTCCCAGTCCCAGGAAACGGTTTCCTTCCCCCTGGTAAGTTTCCAAAGACGGGTTACAATACATCATCTTATCAAATGAATTTACAGAGTACCAACAAAGATGTGTGTCGTTTTTATCAGGTCCACCCACTCTCTTTCTCAACAATGATGAGGCGTCCGAAGACATAAGGAAGTGGACAGTGAATGACGTGTACAACTTTATCAACAGCGTACCCACTTGTTCAGAATATGCCCAGGTGGGTTTTTTCGCTGTTTATTTTGTTTGTCTTTACTCTATTTGTTGCCTCTTTGTTGTGCTAATGTTTTGTCAATTCACTCTGCAGATGTTCAAAGACCACATGATTGATGGGGAGACGCTGCCCCTCCTGTCAGAGGAGCACCTGCTGGACACGCTGGGACTCAAGCTGGGACCAGCTCTTAAGATCCGCTCACAGGTAGGAAACACAGACTCTGACTGAGCTCTGAACATTCAAGACTTGATCGCGTGCAAAGAAGTGATGTGTGTGACTTTGAAATACATCTCAGCGATGCCTGTGCACGGCCACACATTAACTTCTCACTAAACATTACTTTTGTACAGTTTAACGAGGTTTTATTCGTATCCGTTTTTGAGTTGAGTTGACATCAATTTGCCCAGATTAAAAAACCTAAAATCCCTCAGTAGATTCTTAAAAGTGTACAATATATGACATCGGCTGTCGTAAGAGCGAATTTGGGGATTTGGGTAAGAATAAGACTACACATGCAATGGATTTGATATGCGTAGATATAAATAGTTATTATGGAAGAACAATATGCAGCAACTAAAGGGAGCTAATCTACCATCTATTTAGTTTAGAATTTCATTGCTTTTATTACTGTGACATTTTAAAATGTCCTCTGTGAAAATGACCTATGGAGGAGCATCTCACTGCTTCTCCCTTACGTACTTGTCACTCACCGTTCCCTTGGTGTCCGACGCTTTTGCAAAGACGAATATGTCGACTCTCCACAGGTGTCCAGGCGTCTGGGCAACATGGTGTACATGATGAACCTGCCCCTCTCCACCTCCACACTGCAGCCCACTGCTGAAAAGCCAGCGGACCGCTCATCAGAGATTGGTTCCCCTGTGAACTGCAACAGCGAGGAGATGATGGCGAGTCCAAGGGACCCTGATATCCTCAAGTCCACCGAGCACCTACACGATACAGAAAACAATTCCCCTCCATCGGCCAGCAGTGAGACAGCCTGATCAGAACTGATCACCTGGACCTCACCGGGCCCTGATCTGCGCCTGGAGCAGCAGCGCCCTACCGGACTGCCACAGTCATGGATTTGTTTACATTTTTATTAAATGCATTGAAGATCCTTTTTTTTTTTAATTTGCTACTTTTTTTAATGCAGAGGTTCACACTTGTGCCAGGTATATGCTAAATATTTTTATTTTATATATATATGTTGATATATTTTTAACAACCACAGCGGAGTGAGATTGATGTGTGAATTCTGAGATAAGAAGATGGTCCGTTTATATTTTTCCGTTACAGGCTTTAAAATATTTAACTAGCTTTAAACTTTCTTATTTTTCAAACCTCTAACTCCATTTCTACAGTAGAGTATCATAAGGACCATAGAAATAATATGGGAATAGTTTTATAATTGATTAATCAAATATCTAAGTGAGATGCATTTGGATGTTGATGATATTCTTTTGCTTTTGTTGAACTGTAAATAAAGCATTTTTCTACCTAAAAAATATTGTAACGAATCAAAAAAAAAATCTTTTTCTTTTAAACATTTATGGAAGAAAATTTGTATTTCGTTTCCAAAGCAAAATAACACACAATAGAAACAAAAGAAAATAAAAGACAAAATAAAAACGTAGAGCAATATAAATTGTTATGCCTTATAATTCAAATATTAGAAATTATGAAAACCATTAAAAGTAAGATTTTATTAAGAATTTTATTTAAATTCAAGATTAAGAATTGCAGAATATTATAATTAATAAATGCGTTTAAGTGGAGACGAAGGGAAGACCGAAAGGCCGAAAGAAAAAAGAAAAGTTAGGCCTACTTGTTATGCAAACCGGCAGATTACAGAACAGTGTACAAGAAATTGAAGTGAAGTTTGTGAAACCCCTGAGGGTTTAAGTAAATAGTAATTAATTAAATGAATTACTTGAAAATAAGAAAAATAATGCAGTATTGTTTTATTTTATAATACATCATAAGTTGTTTTTTTATGTGTTTTTTTATTTAATTCATGGTATATTCCCCTAGTTTAAATACATACATAGAGGTATATTATAATTACAATTCAAAAGTAAGACATACGAACATACGCATGAAGATCATGCAAAAAAATGCAAGAAAAATATTGGGTCAGATGAGTAGAGAAAAACTGACCGTTAACCACGTGAACGGAAGTACCGTTTCCAAACCGTTAATCGATAAGTCTCGCGATACTACGCGTTGTGCGCGTGCGCAGCCCCGCGGACGTCGGAGTACTCGGAGGATCATGGCGGAGCGCAGGAGGCACAAGAAGCGGACCCAGGTAAACATCACTCGAGTTATGAAAGATTACCAGGCGTTTAGGTTGAGAGAGAACAAATTAAAACCGGGCGCGGGATTACGAGCCGGTTTAACGTCCGTTAACGGCCTTCACCCGGCGGCAGATGAAGGAAGACGATGGCTAACCCTAGCTAGCATTAGCTGGCTAGCGACAACAAATATCAGTGGCTGTATTTTGATCAGACGTGGCGTATTGAGCTCTCTAATTGCGCATTCGCTAGCACTCACGCGCTAGCATCCGTGCGAGGGTGGCGTCGTCGTAACACCGTCCGACGAGCTGTCTCTGCAGTGCACCACCTTTGCATTCTTTTGAAGTGGCCTGCACCGTTAAACGTTTTCGAGATAAGCTGCGTCAGCTCTAACGTGGACCAGACCTGTCCGGACCTAAAGTGAGACGATCTGCGGGGGTTTAAATTCCCGAGTTAACGCCGCGCATCGTCAGGTGGCGTAACAGCTGTGTGGATCGAGCAGTGTGGATCGAGGTGCGTTTTAAAGAGCGCAGCGTCGATTTTAGGGATAAGCAACAGTTTACAGGAGGGCTACAGGTGCAGTCTTCCTGACGTCACCCCAGGACAGGCGCTAATAATCGGTCGGAGGGTTTGGGGTTTTGGGGCCTTTCTGTTACACATTTGTGATCTGTTCATCCGTCCTTCCATATTGCATCAGACATGAGTTGTGTGTGTGTGTGTGTGTGTGTGTGTGTGTGTGTGTGTGTGTGTGTGTGTGTGTGTTAATACCATGCATGTGGTCAGGGTTTGATTGTTGTTGGTTTTTGTATATTTGATGTTTGTGTCACAAGGTGTTAAACACAGCTGGATATATTTACTGGTTGGTGAATGATATTCAAAAGTCCAACAGTATGATGCAACATCTTGTGTTTTTTCGCGTGTTGCAAATTGGCGACCGCATTTTTTATCCCTTTGTTACACGATGTTCGCAAATGATCTGTAATCCTTGGGTTGCTGTCTTTATGTGTAATTGGTATTTGCTGAATTGCTCAGATAATCAATCGATTATCTGTATACTAGATTTAATGCTAGTAAAACATACCAAATTGATTATTTTAGTACACACTGTACACCGTTAGTATGGATGGATTTGAAGTATACTTTTCAGTTTAAGGCAATACAATTCAACAGCAGCTTAGTGTGCCAGTATGAGTGTAGTTGCACAACAAAAACATGCCGTTGTCTCATTGATGGTAGACCTGGAGCCAAATAAGGCTTTACGTTACACTGCATATAACCAATACCTCCTTTTTCTTTCTTTTTTAGTATTCAAAGATTTGTATTATCAGTTTATGGATAACTAATGCTATCTAATTCAACGGCTCTGCAATGATTGCATCTATTACAGTCCTAGTGTTCCATTTCAACAGATTTTATCTGCACCCTTTACAGCTGTGACGGTGCACTAAATCTAAGAAACACTTGTGTGTGTGAATGCGGTTCAACAGTAGCTCAAACTCCAGCTCACAAAAGGATCATATGCGAATGAATCGGCAACATCTCTCAAACAGTTGCAACTTCATGTAGGTGGGATTTGAAGCCAACTTGTTGCATTAGTATGTGGTGGGTGTTCCTAATAACCAGGATTCTGTGTGTTTGGGTTCAGTTGCATAACAACGTACACTGTTCTCTCCTTTTGCTTTTAAAAGTCACCACGCTGCATCACATCGCAGTTCTGTGCTTTTTTGGCGTTGTTCCTCTTGGTTTTTCTGTTGTACAACCGGTTGGAATGGATTTCATACTTAGTCCTTCAAAAAGAACCAATACTGCTGTTCGTGAGGATCACAAGACACCTGCCTTTTATATACTATGGCTGTTAGACCAGAACAGCAAATATTCATAGGTAGATCATTTACACGGTGACTGGGGGCTTTTTGTGCGGGGTCTCGTGTAACCAAGCTGTGCGGCTGATGTGCCTGCCCCCTTTTTAATACAAAAGCTTGTTTCACGGCCCTCGTCTTCCTCATGTTGTCGAGCCCGGCCAGCCGGACCGGATACAGCAGCACCGGCTTTCACCGGGCTGATGCTCCCACTTCCCCCCCTGTTGGCATGTGCTTCAGTGCTGCAGGCGCATAGATGACGATCTACAATATTTTGAAACTGGACCCAATGGGACCTTTGCTCATCTGTTTGTTTGTCCGGTCCTGCAGGAGGTGAGCGAACCCACCAAAGAGGAGAAGGCGGTGGCCAAGTACCTCCGATTCAACTGCCCGACCAAGTCCACCAACATGGTGGGCCACCGAGTCGACTACTTCATTGGTTAGTGGTTACACCCAGACATCCGTTAGGGCGGATAATTAGGGGATCAAACCCTCCCCTTACTTTTCACAGTTGTGATTACTGAGAAGTAACATTTGAACCAAATCTGCATTCAAATGGCACACGTGGTCCCTGTCCTCCAGTCTTGCATTTCAAGTTGCCATTTGGCTGGTGAACAGTGAGCAGAGCACAGAGGAAGTTGTCTCGGCCGTGTATCCGCCGGCTGCGCAGTAACACCAGTAATATCACCCACAGGCCCCACAGGCTGCCATCAGGCCAGAAGCCGATGCGCTCAGAATGAGTCAGAACTGAGATTCCGATGCATTTGATGTTGTTCTTGTAAAAGAGAATCTCTGCTGTGTTTTTTTTTTTTTCCCATTCATATTTTTGGGGCAAACTATGTGCCAACTAACCGGCTCATACGAGTCAAACGCAACAACTCGATGCTTCTTTCACACGGTGAAGAGGAGCGCTTTGCTATTGCCAGATAATTAGTCCTAAACGCTGACTCACCACATTTTACATTGGAGAATGAACTGGCACAGCGCAAAGAGCTTTTTACACTACATGTCATGATTCCCCCATTCACACACAGATAATTGTTTCCTTCTGGCTCTGTACCGCTGTCTGTTTCGTAACGTCCATCTTTGTGTCTCTACATTTAGCCTCCAAGGCGGTGGACTGTTTGCTGGACTCCAAGTGGGCCAAGGCTAAGAAGGGAGAGGAGGCGGTGTTCACCACCAGGGAGTCTGTTGTGGATTATTGTAACAGGTTAGCTGCCCAACACACTGATGCTGTAGATATTTAACCATTTGTCTTTAGGATGTAGGATTCTATTCCTAAAACAAGGTATCTAATCATGTTATAGTCACTGGTATAAACAGCTGCAACTAACTATTCCTATCTTAAAAGAAGCAGAAAAACTACTGATGCCACTAATCCAATTCCTCCATTATTAAAAAAGATGCTGACAGTGTTGTTCGTCTTGCAGAGCAACCAACTGGTGAAAGTTGCGAACATTTCAAATCCCCAGCATGACTTTACATTTCAGCAGTGATGATTCGTTCTCCTCCGTCCTTTGTAGACTCCTAAAGAAGCAGTTCTTCCACCGGGCTCTCAAAGTGATGAAGAAAAAAAACGAGAAAGACGCCAAGAAGGAGAAGGAGAAGGAGAAGACCAAGGCCGACAGTGGCAAAGAGGAGGAGAAAAAAGGGAAGAAGGACAAAGAAAAGAAGAAGGAGCCGGAGGCCGCTGAAACCAAGAAAGAGAAAAGTGTACGTGAGCCTCAATGTTAAAAATATTATCAGTATTAATTATTTCTACTACCTGTTGTGGGCTTTTATGTTTGAATTCTTTACATTCATTGATCGTCGCTACATTTGTACAGTTCATCGGTCCATCAGAAACGTGGCGTTGCACAATTCTATGACCGTGTTTGTTTAATGACACCGTCAGACTTGCTTTTCCTGACAGGAAAATGGTTGAATATTGACTTTGCTGTTCACTTAACTTTAGAGAGAGAAGAAGCTTAGTGGAACCATAGTCTCTGGTCTGTGTGTGTACTTACGACGACAACAACAATAATAATAATAATAATGTGGTTAGCAATGTTGCCGCCTGTGATCCGTCTCTCTTAATACGACGGTCGCGCTGTGACAGGAGGACGCCTGAATACGTCAAATACAGATTTCTTGTGTGATGTTGATCTTGTTTACTGTTCTGATGAACTCTCACAGGACGACAGCCCTGGAACCCCCAAGAAGAAGAAGAAGGAGGTGAAGAAGAAGTTTAAACTGGAGCTTCATGAGGAGCACGAGCAGCTGTTTCTGGACGGAAACGAGGTGAGCGGGCTTCGATATGTGGGACAAATGTCTGATCCTGGAAAAAACATCAAACGCCCAAATGTGTTTTTTTTTCCTCCAGGTGTTTGTGTGGATTTACGATCCCGTTCATTTCAAGACGTTCGCCATGGGACTGATACTCGGTGGGTCAGAGGTCAAAGAATCATGACCTGCATGAAGTGTTCTTGTTAAAAAATCCCCGTTTGTTGGTGATTGCAGCTGATTTGACTTTGTGTGTTTTCGGTCGGTCAGTCATTGCAGTGATCGCAGCCACACTCTTCCCACTGTGGCCAGCAGAAATGCGTGTAGGAGTTTACTATCTGAGTGTTGCGGCCGGCTGCTTTGTGGCCAGTATATTGCTTCTTGCTGTCGGTAAGTACAAGTGCTTCAAAAAAAACACCTCACTTCCTGTACGACGTTCCTTTGCTAAGACTTTTTTCAATTTTTTTGTTAAAATTTGCATCGGGAACTACTGCCCGTTGTCATCCCTCACGGTTACAGATCATTGTTTCCATGGCCAATTTTGGGGTTTCTTAGATCAGAACTAAATGATAACAGACTGGAGATACAGGCAGAACGGCTGTAGTTACTTCATTTAATTGGCGGGTGAATCCCAGAGAGACTGCAGAGTTTATCCGATATGAATGCCAATAAAGAAGAGACGTATGTTTTTTTTAAAAACATTTATTCAACTTGCTGAGGATTCCTTCTGACCCCACAGCCCGTTGCATCCTCTTCCTGATCATCTGGGTCGTGACCGGCGGGCGCCACCACTTCTGGTTCCTCCCCAACCTGACGGCAGACGTCGGTTTCATCGACTCGTTCCGGCCGCTCTACACCCACGACTACAAAGGGCCGCGAGGCGGCAACAAGAAGGGCTCCGACAAGACGGACGAGAAGGACAACGACGGCAACAAGGCTCAGAAGTCCGACAGCGAGGAAAAGTCCGACAGCGAGAAGAAGGACGGCGAAGAGGAGGAGGAGGAGGAAGAGGAGGAGGAGGAGGAGCAGCAGCAGCGAAAAGAGGCCGGGAAGACTAAAGAAGCAGAGGGGGAGGCGACGGGCCGCCACTCAGACACAGACAGCGACCGCCGGGAGGACGAAGGCTCGCAGCACAGCAACGGAAACGACTTTGAGATGATCACCAGGGAGGAGCTAGAGCAGCACACGGAGGAGGAGGAGGAGGAAGAAGAAGAAGAAGAAGGGGACGAGGAGGAGGAGGAGGAGGAGGAGTCGCAGTCGCAGGAGAGGAAAAAAGGGGGTGAGAGTGAGACTAAACCCCAGACTGCTGAAACATAAACTTCTTCTACAATCCCGTCTCTCTCTCTCTTTCTCTCTCTTTCTCTCTCATTCTCTCCTTTCGTCCTTCCTGTGATTCCAGGACCTTCTTGGTCCGAGGCCGCTTCTCCTCTTCTTGAGATCTTCCGATAGAAAGTACCGGTAGACTGGCTCTGACTCCTCCCACTCAAATGTTATTCATGTTCAAATGAAAACTGCAACCGAAATGTTCGGCCAAGGACGTTGTCAACCGAAACGCATCAGACAACCGTCTCTTTATCCCCTTTCCTCCTTTTCTCATGTCAACATCTCTTATTTATGTTGCCTCTCTGTTTACATATTACATTTGGATGTGATGTCAAAGCCAGATCGTAACCACGAATGGAGGAGAAAAGCGACCCCCGACCCCCGTCCATACTATTCTCCCGTTGCCATCTCAGAGCTCCATGTTGTTGGTACATTCAGGTTAACCAGAAACCTTTTATTGGTGTTTTGGCGAGACAACATGGCAGGATGTGCGCTTAGCGGCGCAACAGAGAGCCGATGGACCAAATCCTGTTGTTTACTCCAGTGAAGCTACAGGTGAGCGGCTGTGGAAGCGGAGCAGCACGACTCCTCCGGGTACTCGCCGTTTTCAGTAGGAAATGATTTTTCTTCTTTTCAAATGGCTTCTGATTTTACTCTGACGTAGTTCATGTTCACGACGCGGGACTCATCTAGAAGAGTAAATGTTCACAACGGGGACACAGCTGGTATACTTCATTTTCTTTTTTAAAAAAAGGTTGCAGCATTTGTTAGGTAGAAGATATCGAGTTCACTGACTATTTGCAAACAGAACCAGATCTAAAGTCAAATCTAGTGCCAAACACGCTTAGTGTGAAAGGGGGGGGTAAGCTTTTGTTGATTCGTTCATATTGTAAACGCAGTGTCAAACTCCTCGAACCTTTCGCATCATTGAAAAAATAAAGATTAAAGAAAAAAAGCACAGCAACAGGTTGTTCGTGTGTAGCTAAATAAATATTTTGGTCTCAATGAAACCGCTTAAAGGTGTTCGCACTCGACTCCCAACCAAACCAGTTCCGTCGAGTTGTTAGTGGAAGTGGTGTCATTGAAAGCAGAGACTCCCGGCTGTGGTGCAAACTGCTCCTTCACGTTATTTTCCGGCAGGAAATGTCTTGAATGCCCTTTTATCAGTCCTCGCAATGATTATATTTATGTATAGAAATAGAAATCTATCATTTCTATGTGGATTCTATTGCTTTTGAATTATATATGGATTATATCGCTAAATTATGCATATATACCACATGTATACTGTAATAATTGTGTGTGTGTATATATATATAAATATACAATTATTACAGTCTAAGAAAAGCTTATTTGTATTAGGTTTCCTTATTACGCAGATTTGTTAAATGCATTTTGGTTTTATATGATCATAAAGAGCAAACATGTCAATTTACAGTGGGAACTTCGCTTAACACAATTGTTTTTGTTTTTTTGTTTTTAGCATTGAACGTGTGATCTGGTTGGTTTGTGGCCACATCTGTATTTCTCTCACCAACAAACGGTAAAAGAAGTAACCCCGTAGCTGGAGTCACCCGGCGGGGCAAAAACTCTCCTCACGGTGAAACCACATCTTCATCTATTCCGCTCAGCTTTCTGTACCGTCGTTTGTTTTCCCTGGGAATGGACTCACCTGGCCTGTTTCTAGTAGTTTGTTGCGGCTCCTGTAATCCCACTGAGGTTTGTAGCTCTTTGACTTTCTTCCATGTTTTTTTTTTTTTTTTTTTTTAAACATCTTCCACAAACGGGCAACGTGCTTCTCGGTGTCCTGAGGTTGCTGTGCGCTCAATCTTGGCATAATGGAAAAAGAGGAAGTGATTTCCCCAATTGTTCTAGGCTGTTGCAGTGTCGGTCTTCTGTATATTGTATTATTACTCTGTACGCTGCTGCTTGTCACACTTCTGGGGCGAATACAAATTGCAAAACATCAATGTTTAAACTCCGGTCAATAAGTCTATTGATCTAGACGTCCACATTTGGATCCACATCCTTCTGAAATACTGGCTCATGCAATATTGGAGAGATATTTAATAGAACTGGATGTCTGGATATATCTGTATCTTATCATTGCAATAAAAATATAGAAAGCACACGAGTATTGTCTTATCTTCCTGTCATGTATGTATTAGTACTTTACTTATAGTTTGTCTTTTTCCGATTGATAAGATCTGATTAGGGTATCTAGTGGCTTTTTGACATAAAATACGGTGTTAAATGTTCATTTTACTGACATACATGTTTTCCATGTGTCTTTAAAATCATACTATTTTTATCATGGCAGGCACTTTAAAAATGGATCTAACATACATTATAGACATGCCTGCAAGTACACCAGGGTAACAAATGCAATATTTATTAAATCTCCATAATTGAGCAATTTGTAGTACTTTTTACTCATATTCCACAAATATGCCTAAAAAGGCCTATTTTTTTTGAAAATTGAGCACCTCAAATAGGAATTTGCTTTTTATTGCGGACTACACAAAGATCCGACGCAACAAAAAAATGAATATTCAAACTTTATTTTGCAATACCTCCCATCACATTGGCAGTTTAATAACTAGACCGTTGGATGTTTCTCCAACTTGTTCTATTTAGTTTTGTTCTACATCATGTATAATGAGTTAAGGAAGAAAGCAATTAATATGTTCTCTCTTTTGGGACGTACACACAGGAGAGACTGCTGCATCTTTACAGAACAATCAACCGTATCCTTTGGCTGACTCGTTTGTCTAAATAAATAGAAATAGGACATTAAATATTTATGTATATACAAATATACATTTAGGTTCTTTTCCAACTATAATCCCATAGACTTTGACTAACGCCGACATGTTACACACATTCATGCAATTTATCTTCCTTCCATTTTGGGGCATCATGCTCCCCCCCCCTGTATAATACTGAGTACTAAGCGCATGTCATAACACACTTTCTCACATGTGTGAGATCTAATCACTATATGCTCAATACATGCAGTCTTCAAAAAGTCTTCAACGCTGCCAGAAAGCTGCAGAAAAAGCACCTGCCGGATCAGTTTTCGGTGTCTGAGGAGTCGGAGACGTCTGCCAGTCGCTCCTGCCTCTTGCGTACGTTCCAGTGCAAACACTGAGCCAGGCTTTCGAACCAGTCGTACACGAGGTCATGGCAGCAGATGGAGGGCACCGGGTAACAAGACGTTGTAATTTTGATGCTGTTTTGAGAGAAAAGCAAAGCGAATGAATCCTAAATGGAGGGAAAAATAAGTGATATGATGAAACGGCCACGGATGACGATGGTGAAAGCGGCGTACCAGTCTCCGTGCTGGATCTCCTGTCTCTTCCTGCCGTCGAACGACACCCAGGCGGTGTTTCTGGCATCGGGGGACAAGGTGATCTGATTCGGAGGAGAAGCAGAGAGCTGCAGTCACAAGTTATTAGAAGGATTAAACACCAATCGACTGACGCGGATAAAAAGAGTCACGGCTTAATATATGTCGCAATCATAACACAAAAGTGTTGCCTTTTTTAATGATTTAAATTAGTTTGTAGGTAAACAAATAAGGCAAGTATAAAGCCTACGGTTTCACACAAGACGGACAAGCGTGAGAAAATTGCACTTTTGGGACATGAAAAGGGTGTTCAGCTACAGTTTTTAAATGTACATCATAAGAATTGTAAACTGCTGCCCCCCCTGTAAACTGTGTGCACTGATGCAACCCTGGTGTACTTTGTTTAAAGCAGAACATTTGCTTTTTACTTCTGCAGACTGTATTCATGCGTGTGGCGCTCAGTTGCTTAGATTATCACGGCAGAGAGAACTTCCCGATCAAGTGGAAAAATCTCCCACGTAGGCTATTTATTTTGGAGCTTTTGAGCGAGTCACTTGGCCTTCATCAGATAACTGTTTACTTTAATTATAACCATTTTATATAACATTTAAGAAAATGGGCTAATTTCCACTCATTGCTGATAGCATAATAATTATATATAATGATTCATAAAATTAGGAATATGATCATAAGTAATATAACTTTGCTAAAAAAGTGACAGTTCAGTTTAATGATTATAATATGTGTGTAAAGATATAAGGACAAAATATATTAATAAAACATGGAGGGAAAAAAAAAAACATAATTCCCGATCCGTAGTCCTGAAACTGATTCCCTATTTTGTTAAAGTAAACATTCCTTTTGTTTATTTAAATGTGATAATACAAATCAGACAAAGCAGTCACATAATGATGATAATAATACGAACAATCCCCAAAAATGACTAACAAAATCCGTTCAAGCCGGAGCACTTTGCACTTTAAAGTCATAAAGCGGATCATTTGCCAAACAGTAGAGGGCGCCAAAACTCCGAGCTGCGCCAAATAGAAGGAGAAGAAGAAGAGGAGGAGGAAGAAGAAGAGGAGGAGGAGAAAGCCTGATCATGCAAACACAGTTAGAATGGTAACCGGTGTCATGTTGTTCTTGCTATAGTTAACGTTAGTCACTGAACCATGATCCTTACCATGAGCTCCACCCCAGCCGGCACAACGATGGGCCTGAAGGAGAGCGAGTGTGGGCAGATGGGGGTGACCATGATGGCGGGTACGTTGGGGTGGATCATGGAGGCTCCTGCTGCGGCTGCATACGCCGTGCTGCCTGTAGGCGTGGACACAATCACACCTGGAGGGGGAGAGAGGGAGCAGATCTACCATGTTTATTCACCGCAGGTACACGAGTCATGACATGACTGGAGGGAGTGTGGGACGGCTCTCACCGTCTCCCTGCACGGAGGTGATGAGCCGCCCGTCGAGGTACAAGTCCACATTGGACAGGTAGGAGGACGGGCCTCGATCCACCACCACCTCATTCAACACCTGGAAACGGACACACACACACGTTAAGATCAGAAGGCACTCAGAAGCTGCAATAAAAAGGTTTACTGTGTTTATGTGCATCCATACATTTGTGGGTTTGACCACCAATAAGAGAAAAATGTGAGGGAATATTATGAATAATCATAATGATTCTTACAGAGACAATCAAATATAGTCATAGCCAAAACATTGATGTTTACATCAATGTTTTGGCTATGACTATATTTGATTTTTTCTTTTTTTCTTCAATACAAAATGGTCAACTAATAACACTGGGTTCTTGCACCATTTTAAAAGTAAAATTTAATGCTTTTTAAGACCTTTTTAAGACCTCAAAAAATATAATTTAAGACCGCAAAATGTCAAAATTTCTTTGGAATACGCAATTTATTGCCTCCTACAATGGAAATCAAAACTTTTTTAACACACACTTGTTACAGCCGACTGAGAGGTGGCGTCTGAACTTGTAACGTCGTGCTGCAAACAATGCAGGGATTAACCTGGCCCCGCTATGGCCAACTGCTGCAACGTACCGCTGGTGCTTTCCTCCTTTCATGAAGCGACTCGACGGCTTTGAGCCCCACGGTTCCTAATGAAAAGGTCTTTTTGCGTAGTTGACACATTGCCTCATTGTTGTTTTCAACCGGCGCCAACCACCTCCTTAATGCTTCCTCTTCCATCCACTTGTCGTTAAATTTGCACTTCCCACTGCATCTTCTTTGCATTTTCGACAACAGCATAATGGCGACACGCAGCCTGACGTCAGGGATAGGAGCTCATAAACATTCAGAATCTGTTCATTTGGAATGCAACGGGACTCAATTGAAGATTCTTAGCAAAATGACTGCAGGGCTTCTTGCAGTAGAATGTGGAACTCCCCTGTAAAAAAGGGGCAGTCTTCAATATGCAATTCTTTTTTACAGACAGTGAATATGAAGCTAAGCATAAACTCTCCAAAAACACAAACCAACAACGCATTAGAAGCGGAACGCTGGCGTACAAATCATGTTGTGCTCAGAACTGCAGCGCCGAGCGGTGACGTGCACCTGATTTACTGAGGTCAGCAGAACGCGGAGCGAACGCAGACGTGATGTAATGCGAGGTCAGACTCAGAGACCAGAAGCATCCGTCACTGCGTTTTATCTATCGACGAGACAGAAAGAGCCCAACGCAAAACGACAAACTGCAGCAGTGTATGTGTGTCTGCAGCAGTCCTGCAGCTTGTTAAGTTACAGAAATATCAATTTGGCGTTGATTCAACGCCAGGGTCTCCATGGAAACTGGCTAAGCAGAACTTCGCAAACATCCTACTTTTTCTCTCCCATATCTGCTCCCAGCAGCTTTATTTTGACTGTTTCCATGGAAACCCGGCTTGCTCGCTGAGCTTGTAAACGTGTACCAAAGGAGGCCTCAATCATCTCTACGTGCCTGACAGCATTACCTGAAGGTCTTGATCAGGAATTCATGAAAAGGACAAAAAGCCTTTTCAACCAAGAACTATGGAACCAGAGGAACTAAAGTCCTTATTTCAACATCTCTCCATCCGTCAACAATGGAAGGCCTTTGAACGCACATGAGGAAAGAACAATGAAGAGGGATCCTGCGCTCCTTAGTGTCACACAGAAGTTTGAGTAGATCAAATGAAAACATGTCTCTCTTCACTCTAAATCACAGACTGCCAGAGCCTCTAATGTCTCCCAGCACTTGTTGTGTGACTAAAGCTGTACACAATTCAGACGCTAAACTCAAGCCCTACAGCTTTCTGGCCCCCTGGAAAGACCAATAAACTCATTTTAGTGTCTTAAATTCTCTGCTTGAATTATTGGGTCCTGCAGTGAAAAGGAGGCAGCCGTTGAGGAACAACTTGGTCCCCCGTCGCCTCTCGTTGACCTCACCTGTAGCTGCAGGGTGACCTTTCCCGCCTCGTTGTTGGCGTGTCCATGAGGAAGCAGTCCATTGTGTTCTTGCTGCTGCTGGCCTGTCCTCTGAAGCATGTCCTTCACCACCTTCACTTTGAGACGACTGCGCAGAGTGATGGCGGCGTTGCCTGGCAACGCATATGCAGACAAATCGGTGAGGCGACATGGTTTAGTTCTTTGTTCAACCTTTCAGGAGAAAAAGAGTGTTTACATTCATCAGCTATCGGACCGATAGCTGATTTAAAGTTCCTCTACCTTCAAACACTTTGGCCACTTCGGTTTTGTAGGACTCAAATTTGAAGGGCGTCAAGAAACCCAGCGATCCGAGGTGAAACGCCATGACCGGGGGGACGCTGCCCTACGGAGAGGAAAACACGACATGATACCGATTCATACTATCATTTGTTTTGAATCCATTATTGTTTATCTATGTTTATTCCCGAGATTTTCAAAAACCGGAACACGTCATTTTGACATGTTGATGACACACAGAATACAATAAAACATTTAAAAATATAAAAAAGAAAAAAATCTTACTCAATACCACATTTAAAAAAAATACACATTTGTAAATTTTCAAACTGTTACTCCCAAAGGGTAGAGAGGACAATTCATTAATTTGAAAAAATACGAAAGCCAAAATGAGGGTTTTCTATTCAATGCTTTTTTTCTTCAATACAAAATGGTCAACTAATAACACAGGGTTCTTGCACCATTTTAAAAGTAAAATGTAATGCTTTTTAAGACCTTTTTATGACCTCAAAAAATATAATTTAAGACCGCAAAATGTCAAAATTTCTTTGGAATACGCAATTTATTGCCTCCTACAATGGAAATCAAAACTTTTTTAATACACACTTGTTACAGCCGACTGAGAGGTGGCGTCTGAACTTGTAACGTCGTGCTGCAAACAATGCAGGGATTAACCTGGCCCCGCTATGGCCAACTGCTGCAACGTACCGCTGGTGCTTTCCTCCTTTCATGTGCGACTCGACGGCTTTGAGCCCCACGGTTCCTAATGAAAAGGTCTTTTTGCGTAGTTTACTCATTGCCTCATTGTTGTTTTCAACAGCCGTGTAATGCACGGCTGTTGATGCGTCAGGCACGCAGCCTGACGTTAGCGTCTGTAGCCGACGTACCGTAAACAGCTGTTCAATTGCGGAGACTCATTTCGCACAATACTAAATTAATCAACTATTAGATGTTTTACGATGCGCCACTGTGCTTTCCCGTCGTCATCAAGCGCACCGGCAAAAAAAATTAATACCTACAGCAACTTTACGTGAAATTTAAGACAATTTAAGACCTTAATTACCCGAATTTCAATTGAAGACATTTTAAGACTTTTTAAGGACCCGCGGGAACCCTGATAACAGTGTGATTACCTGGAAGAGAGAGGAGGCGTAGAGCAGAGTCCCATCTCCACCCAGACAGATGATCAGGTCTATGCACTCAGAGATATCATCAAAACCTGCAGGCAGACAAAAACACTGCTGCATTCAATACCTTCTTTCCATTTTCACAGCTTTATACCATAAACAAAATAAAATGCTTTATTTCAGAAGGCCCGAAGGGGAGACCATGTCTGAGAGTCAGTCGAAGGCAAACACACCAGTATGTGGCCAGTCTGACTAATGTGATAAATGGCAACATCATAAGCCATGAAAAGACCAAAGAAAAACAAAAGGTCAACAGGAATATTGTGATCTAAACGTGATTTTCTGTGCAGAAGTAGAAATTTAATTTTACGTTGATTAATGTAGTATAGTATAGTAAGTATAAGAAAGGACACACTGGACTTTTTCCGCTCCATCCTTTGTGGAGATTTCGACAAAACGAGATTAATTTAGAAAGCTTTTGTTTTTGGTTATTTAGAAAATATCCTTCACGTAAAACCTAACGGTCATAAAGATTGTGTATTGCTACTCAACAGAAGAACCACTATTGAAACACCCTACAACATTAAAATGCAAGTCAACAGTCTTTAGAATGAGTACCTCTTTTTTTTTTTTTTACATTTCACAAACCACTTCCTACTTACACTAAAACAATGTGAAATGTACACCTTCAGGTTCATGATGGCGGACTCACCTTCCCTGAAGGTGCAGAGCTGGTTGCGGATGGAGCCAAAGGCCTCGTCCTTTGACAGCGTAGCATCGTCTGCGACCCTGCGCTCCACGTACACCATCATCTGCTTCTCCTGAAGCACAAAGACTCGCTTTAGATAGATACGAAAGCTTTTTCTAAAATGAAATTCAGCGTGCGGCGAACGTGTGAGCGTGGTTCACCATGATGCCGCGTGCGAGTAAATACACGGCATCGCTGGACTTTTAGAGACGCCTTAGACATAACAGTCTGTTTTGGAAACGTGTGGCCAGGAGGTGTTTCAGCTTTGTGAGACCAGACGCTGCAAACATGTCTGCTTCATTTACTGGATTCTTTTTGCCAAACATGCCGTTGTTCAGTGTCACTGATGGGCCGAGTTTAATAGCAGCAAAGGTCAAAACTGTAACTGAAATCAATTAAACGGACATCCAAGATAATAAAAACAGTCACAGAATTGCAAGATGGTTTTACTCTCAAAGTGACATTGAGATTCATATGGTCAAGGAATATAGATTTAATCTAATGTCGAATAGGAATTGCAACATGGCAATTGCTGAGTCAACGGTCACTGCTAAGGGCGCTAACGGTACTAACAGCGTTCACCTGAGGGGGAACAGGTGGGCGGTCGCTACGCTTCCACAACAACAGCTGTCAGCTAACGTGCAACCTGCTATTCAAGCAGAGAAACTCGTATCACGCCACACACATAAGCGACAGTGACTTCCTTATCTGCTCTGTCGACATCACCTCAAAATAGTGGTTCGATGCCGTATTAATGCGCTGAATGTTGTACAGAGAACTTTTAATGTGTGAAATAACCAAAACGAAGAGCCTCATGTCAGATAATCAGAATCTGTTTCTGTTATGACACGTTAACCTGGTAAAATAAATATACAGACAGACATATTATGCAATTGAAGTCCTCTACCTCCACTAGAAACCTGCAGAGCTCTTTGAAAGGCTCGACGAGGCTCTCATCCCGGATCTTCCGGATGACGAGCACGTTGGCGGGCGGTTTATTCCAGGTGAGCCGCTGGCTGGCCGGGTCCTGGATGTGCCTGCAAAACAAAAACACAGTGATTAAACAAACATTTTGCACACACACCAATAATGGAAATAATGAAGATGGACGTACACAAACAAATAATAGAGTTAGGTGTTACGTAATCATGGTGTCTTTTTTTGGCATGGCGATTTTTAATTCTGCATAGTCAAATGCCACCGAGATACCGGGTCTAAGTATGGTAAAAGAAAAATCTACTGCAGCTGCAGTAATTCATTAACTGGAACACCTGAAGGGGTGAGGTTCAAACTCCAAACCTTAGAACTGTAAGAACATTATACTCTTTCTTTTCCCGTTTACCGGTCTCTCTCCTCCCTTGCGTGGCGGATCACGGGCATTGTGCAGACAATTCTGTCCGAGTTTTTAGCTCAAGTCCGAGGAAACACTCCTTATACCAGGTGACGACAAGCATCCGTGGTCTGTTCTGTTAGCCATCCCATCTCACGTAGCATCCAATCACAGCATTCTCGCGTTATCTTATCTCTCAGTTACACAAGCAGTATCTGTGTATGCAAACAGTATTGCCAGTTTGTACACAGAAAAATCGACCCTAATGCTTACATGACTGAAGTCGGGTTGGGAAGAATACAGGCTTTGGGTCCGAAGTGAGTGGCTGGATACGGTCCATGTAGAAAGTGGGCTCTCCTGTGAGGAGAAAAAATGAGGAGGGCACGTCAAGACGTTACAACATCTAGTCCCGGGCAACAGAGCCGCGGTAGTGGCACGGAGGACCAGCTGTCGCCCTGCAGTGCAAACCTCTTAGGAGAGCTTTCCGCCGTGTCGCTCGCCGAGCCAGAGGCCTCCAAGTGCTCACGTTGGCCAGGCAACCTGCGGCGCTCAATCTCCGAGAGCAGCTGCCCGTCGCCGGCCCGCCGTCGCCGCGACCCCGTTGCCTTCCGCCGTCTCCTTGGAGACTTGTCCAGGTGACCCCGTCGCCTGGAGGACCTGGCAGAGTCGGACAGCTGACCGGAGGTCGCCGCGGTTTGGCCCGCGACTCTGTCCGGCAGCGACGGTGGATCCGCCACAGAGTTCTCCATTCTGGGGGGAAGGGGGTAAAAAAAATTGAAAAAATGGTACACCATCTTGGAGCTTAGGATTTGGGACGCAGTGAAATAGTTTTTGCCAATTCATCAAGACTGCCTAGTTCAGTAGAACGAAAACAATTGATGGATTATTGTACTAGTCGATTGCAAAGTAACCAGCATGTCTTTATTATGATGATTGTTGTTAATGGTTCATGGTACGTAGCCTGCAGGTGTGTTTGGGGTTCACGGTACTGTTGAAATACAAATGTTGGTCCCACTAAGCGCAAAACAAGTTGCATGTCGTCAGAACGCTGTGGTAACCATGCTGGTCAAGTATGCCTTGAATTTTGAATAACTCCAACAGTGTCAACAGAAAAGCACCTCCACGCCATCACACCTCCTCCTCCATGCTACACACTTAAGGGACCATTCGCTCACCTTTCCTGCTTCTTACAGACAGAGCGGGTCCAACCAAAGATGGAAAACTTGTGACTCAGACGAAAGTACAGATTTCCACTGGTTTAATGTCCGTTCCTTGTGTCTCTTGTTTTTGTTCTTCTTCCTCCTCCTCCTCCTCCTCAGCGGTGGCTTCTTTGCAGCGATTCAAACCATGAAGGTCTGATTCACGCATTCTCCTCTGAACCGTTGATGTGGAGATGTGTCTGCTACTTGAACTCTGCGAAGCATTTATGTGGGCTCTGATCTGAGGGGCTTTTAATTTGCGGTTTCCGAGGGTTGCAACTCTAATGAAGTGATCCTCGGCAGCGGAGGTAACTCTTGGTTTCCCTGTCCTGGGTCGGTCCTCGTGAGAGCCAGTTTCAAGGTAGCGTTTGATGGTTTTAGCTACTGCACTTGAGGATACATTCAAAGTTCTGGAAATCTTCCGGATTGACTGACCTTCCTGTCTCAAAGTAATGATGAATTGTCGTTTCTCTTTGCTTAGTTGAGTGGTTCTTGCCATAATATGGGTTAGAACTGTAGTCGTATAGGCCTATTCACTGTACAGAACTGTGCACCAACCCTACACAACACAACCGGTGGTCTCAAACACATTGAGAAGGCGACAGATTTCACAAATTAACTTGACAAGACACACCTGTTAATTGAAACCCCTTCCAGGCGACTAATTCGTTTCAATGCATTTAATTGATTTGACCTTGGAGCAAGAACAAGACAGACACCAGCCTGTTGTTGAAACACCACGTACACAATAAATATGCAGACTCACGGTCTGAGACCTTTATCTAACGGCCCACGGCGGCTGTCGATTTGGGAACAGCGGTCGTTCCCTAGAAGTGTTAGCTTCACAAGCTAGCAAACAGCTTCACAAGCTAACGTTCGCTAACGTAGACCGGAAACGAAGCCTTACTGCGTCAGAGCGAAGGAAACATGCTCACATTGCTACTACACAGCGAAGGACCGCGCGTGTTTAGAGTCCAGACGAGACATGTCCTTAAAGGAAAGACAGCGGCATCACACTAACAGCTGATGAGACAGGTGCCTAATAGAGACCGGAAGTGATGTTTTCCACACCGGTTCAGGGGGGCGGGGTCACAGCGCGCGCAGACGTCTGCGCAGGACCGGGGGTTATTTAAAGGAGCAACATATGACGTTTAGTGAAACAGAATTGAAAATGGTATTAATTAAATAAATTGTTTTTTGGGGGGATTCATTAATTTTATAAAGAAAAAATAAGAAAATCAAACTATTTATTTGCAAATAATTGGACCTTTTTAACATGTGGTCAGCCAGAACAATTTGCCTTTCAATCTCTACTTGAATAAAAGTAAACCACAATGGCAAAATATAACCACTGGTGAAATAGAAGTACTTAGTCCATAGTTTAGTACATGTCTAAGTACTTCAATTTTGCCTTATACTTTTATTTTACTATTGTTGGAGACAATGTTATGAATTACAGATAAGATAATTATATTAAAAAGATTTAAAAAAAAGATTATAAAATGGACATTATAAAAGTATGTTAACGCACGTTTTAATGTTGATGTGGTGTAAATTTGTGACGGATACAGACAAATAAGTGAGACTTACTGTAACTGGCTCTGTCATAATAATATACTACGACGTCAATAAATATTTAGTCATGACAACTGTTGAAGAGGGTTAGGCTGTTAAAAAGGTTTGACTTCCAGACAGCACGCCAAGACTTGTCTGCCCTTGAAAGGAGAGGGCCTGCTTCAGTTAACATTTACATAGTACTCTGATGTACCAACATACACCTGCATACCTCATACCACTCCTTGTTTGAACTTTGGACCATGTTAGTTCATATCTCAATGCTGTACGGTTCATTTGTGTCGGGAAATCTCTTTAGTTTCCATTTTTGTATTGTTTTTCACAAAGAACTGTATATTGTGCATTTATTTGGTTGTTTAAACACACACCCCTTTTTGTTTTGGAACAATGTTTTCAAGATTGGATACGTCTTGTACTGATGGGTACGGCCCATCTCGCTTCCCTTTTCCCTAAACACGCCTTCAACCTCTTCTAACCGTACAGCTGCAGCGATGCTGGACATTTGACACCCTGCGGAAGGGAACACAAACTGACATACAGAGCTGCGTCTAACATCAGAGGACCTCAGTCACACAGGTAATACATCTAAAGGTAGAGGTGTCTTTACACGTGCTTGAGTGTTCCGAAAGTCTCCTGTCAAAATGAGAGAAATCTACCATTGCAAAGCTGGATTTGATCAGTTATAATTTGTAAATATTGATGAAAATTATCCTTATTTAAAAAACTGCAAATTGATATGTCTCTGACTTGTGGCGAGACTTTAAAACAGGCGGTACAGTTCTACCTGGTATTGATAACTGCCCACACAATACAAAATGTATAACAACAGAGCAGCTGTTTAAGTAGACCGTGGAGTGCAGCTGTTGAAAACCGAAAATGACAAAAATTGTGTGTATCGATTTCTATCTCTTCGTATCTATTGGCAAGACAACAGTCAAGAACACCTCACTCCAAAATGCACAACTTAATATAAAAAAAGATCTCATCTCTGAAACAACATGCAAAAGCAATATTCTTACTAAATGATAACCCCGAAAGGTGAAAAAGTCAGCCAATACTGACGATGACTGGTAAGCGGTAAATGGACGATTTCATCTTGACACAACTGCACTTCCTTATAGAGCTATTCAACACTTATCTGTCATTCTGGGGCCGAGAGCAGGAATCACAGCCCCAATTAGAAGGCCACACCCGATTAGGTAACACATAGTGGAGGATTTCTCAGTAAATGAAACCGCATGTTTCCGTCAAGGGCTGAAACACATTAGCATATGCAGGTGTGTAAACCGTGGTTACACCCTTGGTTTAAACGCTTCTCCCCCAGCAGCAGCAGCAGAGTTTCCCCAAGGACCCACTGTCCCTTGAAAACCGCGGCGCCATGATCGTCTCCATCACTTGTATCCTGCTCGGTCTGGGAGGAAAATGCCTCCTCGACTGGGTTCTGGTGTTTCTCCAGCGGACCCACATCTGCCAAGGCTTTCTGGGAGTTTTCGCCCTCTCCCTGGCTGTCGTGGACACCGTCCTGACCCTCTTCGTCGCCACCCTGCACGCGCATGGATACGTCGCCCTCCCGGGCTTGACTTTGACCAGGTATCACGCGTGCCTGCTGGTCCAAATCTTCGGACAAATCTGCAGTGCTCTGCAGTGGCCCGTTGCGTTCGTGGCCGGGTTGGACCACTTCTCCATGGTCACTCGGTCACAACCAGTCGCTGGCAGGGCCAGATCAGTCGTTTGGGTGCTCGTGACCGGCCTGCTGTGGTACCTCGCGGCCGTCTACGTCTTCCTGCTGTCTGACTTCACTCCCGTCATGGAGGACGTGCCTCACAATCGGATAAGCCAGTGCTGGGTTTTCCCCAACACTCAGACCCTGCAGGTGTCGGCGGTGCTCCTCCTGACGCTGGGCTGCGGAGCGTGGCGCGCAGGGCGCGGCGCGCTATTATCGAGCGATGTGCCTGGGAAAGGCCCGATTACGGACGAGCGCAAAGCTCCCTCCAGGAGAGACGTTGCCCACCAGGCCGTGCACGCATTTCTGGACACGTGGGCCCCATTCCTGTTGTTTCTGGCCGTGCTCTTCCTGCTCCCCGTGGGACTACCGGCACACCTGTGCCTGAACACCGGCTGGCTCTGCTTCCTCAACAGCCTCCTGATAGCGACCGTTTTATGCGCGGTCTGTCCAGTCTCGTGGATAACGCAGGGACCGGCGGCGGTGCCTCCGGACAGCTTCTCAGAGTGGAGATTTCGGTTTGTTTTGAGGACAGAAGGTGAACGGCACCGGGCCAATACAGAACTCGAGGCTCATTAGCGTGAGCTGCCTGGACCTGCCTGGTATGTTGTAGTGGAACAAATGGACGTAACCCTTGAGCTGCAGTGTCTCACACCGATAAGATGACAGTCTCCTGGCTGTAGAGACACAGCCAGTTGGTTTGGAGGCCACCTGTAAGTATAAGAACTGCTTGGCCGTGTTGTGAGGAAATAAAGGGAGAAAGACATATTTGACTCAGAGCCTTATTCTTATTTACCGATTGTCAGTGCAAAAATCTTCCACATCTATTTGGTGTCAGTGGGATCGCTTGAGGCCTCTCCTCTTCAGGATCGACAAAAAAAAAAAAGTGATTCTGCCCCAAACCTCATCACTCAGAGAGAGGGGACCGGCGACCAAAGGAGGCCTGATTGGCTTCAACACGATCCAACTGAGGAAGATTTTCACTCAAATCGGGTAAGAAGTTGATATTCTTATTTCAAACAGGATGTTCTGAATTGTAACGGGTGACAAGGTATGACGTCCTCCCTGGACTTCGTCCCAGAACTCGGGGACAAATTCTGTTTGTGACCATTGACCGGGGGGGAAAACAGGAACGATATTGTGTTTCGATAATAATAATCTGAAAACAGATATTCGTGCCCTTGACCTGTATTTATCAACCAATATTTTCGGTTGGGTTTTAACTTGTATTTTTCCAGGGTATAAGAAAATCAAGACTTATAGTGACGACTAAATTTTAAGGAGTGAAAGTGTACTCCACTACGCCTGAAAGATGGGTGGTGTAGAAGTAAAAAGGAAGCGAGTCCTCCAGAGGGACACGTTGTGGATGTGATGAGACAGAAATATGAAAATAGAATGAATGTGAACGAAAAGAAAACCAATAGCTGAAGAATTATTGTGCGTTACGACCACAGTGTCCCACAAACCAGATTCAAAGGTTTCTGGACAAGATGACGGTGTGTGTGTGTGTGTGTGTGTGTTGTTGTTGTTTTTCTACCATGTGTCCGAGTCCAAGAGATGCTGGAGGCCTTCTTCTCATCACATGTCCGGCAGTACCGCACCGCGCCCCAAATGCCGATCCGCAGGAAGAACCACCTCAACCAGGTTCCAGAACACACAACCTGATTGACGTGAGGCGGGGGGGGCTGCATGTGAGCGGGAGACTGCATCCGTGCTGTGACCTCACATGATAAGGGACGTGAAACGCGCACACACACACACACACTGCCACCGGCAATGAAGAAACGCTTTCTGCATCAACTGCATGCACACACACTCTCACACACACATCCGAGGAACTACTAGAGAGCAGATTAATTTCTGTATTGTAATTTAAACATCTTGCAGTTCCTAGAAGTCATTTTTTTATACTGTACACATGACATCCGTGGTGTAATGCTCAATCCTGGGAGAAGGTTTTTAGGGCTTTAGGGAGTTTTTGGGAGCAAAGGATCTCTTGATGTTCGTGGTTATGATCAGACTGTGTTGGATATTACATCGGAAATGTGCATATTATATTAAGGCATATTGTGTGATTATTATGAAATCAAACGAGTGAAAGGTGAAATGGAAAAAATGTATATAACCCTTCAAAATGTTTCATGGAACGGAAGTGCTGGGATGGTGTGAAAAAGAATTGAGTGTCTCACACCGACAAGATGCCAGTCTCCTGCCTGTAGACACACAACAAGTTGGTTTGGAGGCCACCTGTTGATATAAGAACTGCCTGGCCCTGTTCTGGGAGGTTCTTCGCAGTCTACTGAGCACAGAGCTGTTGTGACCGTAAACAGAGAAAAACGTATTTGACTCCGAGCCAATTCTACTATGGGAACCTGATTAATCTGATTAAAAAGGAAGGAATTGCAAGATATAATTTGACCGTGAGAGAAATAAGTAAATGCAGCAAAAGTTGTTATTGTTGCAACTAAATTTTATTTGTTGATTCGTTAATAAAGACAAAATAAGCAAATCAAACTATTTATTGGCAAATAAATTGATCTTCAGAATTTTTTTAACATGTGGTCAGCCAGAACAATTTCCTTTTAATCTCTACTTGAATAAAAGTAAACCACAATGGCAAAATATAACCACTGGTGAAATAGAAGTACTTAGTCCATAGTTTAGTACATGTCTAAGTACTTCAATTTTGCCTTATACTTTTATTTTACTATTGTTGGAAACAGTGTTATGAATTAGAGATAAGATAATTATATTATTAAAAAAAGATTAAAATTGACATTTTAAAAGTACGTTATCACACATGTATCACACAGGCTGTTAAAGGTTTGACTTCCAGACTCGTCTTTCCTCGACAGTTAATCTTTACATAGTATCTGATGTACCAAAATACACTCGCATACCTGTAGAGACACAACAAGTTTGTTTGGAGGCCACCTGTAGGCATAAGAACTGCCTGGTCCTGTTATGCGGGAGTCGGTCTTACTGGCAGTCTATTGAGCACAACCTTTTTTCTCTTGCAAGGAAATAAACTGAGAAAGACATATTTGACTCAGAGCTTTCTTCTTATTTACCGATTGTCTGTGCAAAATCTTCCACAACAATGTAAAAAAAAGAACGAGCATTTCTGAAGAATAGTTGGACGGCCGAGGCAGCTGAGTGTGTGTCTGTCTGTTACTGCTTCTCTTTGGCCACCGGATGCAAAGTGTGGTGAAAGAACTGAAACTAAGACGCAGTCCTCGCTCTCTGAAGACACCAGGACCGCAGAGAGCCTTCACATCTTCCACTTCCTTGTTCCTTGTTCTGAGTTTGTATCCCTACGGTTGAATGCACTTATTGTAAGTCGCTTTGGATAAAAGCGTCAGCTAAATGACACGTAATGTAATGTGGTTGAATGAAAATCTCTCTTGGCTACATGTTCACACGTACTGGTGAGATACACTTCCCACAGTTCGTGACTCAAGTACTGTCCCTAAGTAACACTTAGGGACATTTGTTATTCAACTGTACATCCGAGAAACACATTGTACTTATTTCTCCACCAAATTTACTTGATAACTTTTAGTTACATTATATTCAGATTAAGTAGAACAAATATCAAATACATATTATATCAATAGGGGGGAAATTAACAAGCTACCCTGCAGTATATAAAGTAATATATATAAATTTGTGGAAATATTTACATTTGGAAGGCTGGAAGAAGCTATTTTTTTATTTTCGACAATAAAAACAACTGAATTGAGTCATTGATTATCCGTCCCGAGGGATTAACTGACCAGTCCTCTTATTTCTCTACACGTAGCCATGTTTGAGAAGACACTGGAGACTACGCCTTTTTCTTTGCTTGTGCAGCAATGTGCAGCTTCGGTTTGTTCATATTGGGATTGACCTTAAGCAAATAAAGAAGCGATGGGGGGGGAAAAGATCACCACCAGACAAGAAGGCAAAAGACATCACAGGTTTGACACTACAGAACTTTACTTGAATTTGATCCAAGTTCATTATCTATACAGTGTATATATTTACAAGATCTGAAATCAGGGAAGGGCAAACAGAAAGAAACAAACACTAGATACAACTGAGGTATTAGCTAAAAGCATTTACAGGTATGTCATTTACTAGTAAATATCCATGATGATAAACAGTTAGAGATGCAGCTTCTTCTGCTTAAAAAACATATTTTTTATATCACAACATGAGGTAGGAGAACAGTGTCTCGATTCATGCAAGAACAAAAGTCTCTTCACACTGTAGTATTGGCAACATAGTATGCAATGGTCAAACACAGACACTGTGTTTCATGTTTCTGAACAGTATCAAGGGGAAAAGGTTATTTTTAGCAAAGCCATGATATATATATATATTTTTTATTTATAGAAGGATGTCTATAAATTAAAACGTGGTACACCCATTCTCTGCATTGTGATCAATCAGCAATGCAGCCATACTTCCTGGTTCCTCCCACACTGCCACAGAATAATTGTCTGAAAATGACTGAGCCAACTAAAAAGCTCTTGCAACAATACAAAGGTTACCTTGGATTCGTTCACTCATTTGTTCAACTTAGCCAGGAGACAAAGAGTATGTAAATCCTGTATTCAAATGTGTCCATGTTGTAAAACTTTGCTCAGTTCACCTTGTTTTTCTGGTCTTTTGGGCAAACGTCAAACCTGTAAAAATTCTGTACAAAGCATATCTAAGTTTTCATAACACTGCAAAATGCAAAAAAAGGCCCAGCAGACAGTGATCAATGGATCTTTCTCTGCTTTCTTTTAGTCCTTCTATTAAACTGGACTATCATTAAAGAGGCTCATCATCGCCCCCTTGTGTATTAAATGCAAATTACACAAAGTAAATTCAGAGCAAACATTGGTTGTCTGCTCATCTGATGGGTTTAAAGATTTTTTTAGGTGCCTCTGAAGACAGTAAAACTAATACTGATGATATTTTAAGTGATGTTCACACACCAGGACAGGAATAAATGACCAGAAGTCCAAAGCTACATGAGCAAATTATTTTCTTTCCCTTTACAAAGCTGCTGTGTGTCAGTAAGACGTGGGAGGCCAACACACACACACACACACACACACACACACACACACACACAAACGCACACGGTCTCTCGCTCTCATACGCACATCTCATTTACAAATCAAATTAGGCTACATTTTACGTTCTTCACAATCTGAATTAATATCTCGTCAACCTGTAAACCAATAATGATATAAAACTTGCACATGTTTAATGTTCATGCATATGAGCCGTCTCAATAGTTTGTGTGTTACGTGAGGGGAAACATCATCTTTTTTTACAATAAAAAATTGTTTAATTAGCCCGTTGACACAAAACCTAAGGGGCAGCAAAACATGCATAAAAAAGAAAAAAACATTTTGTTTAGTTTTTTTTTTCTTCAAAAATGCATTTCCTTAAACAAATGTTTCATTTTCAATTTATCTCAGAGGGGGAAGGGGTTTAATAAAGGGGAAAAGCTCATTACATTACACGTTCAACAGTCAGTCAAGATGAAATCCACAAAAAAAAAGTATCATTTCAAAATAGGGGTGTGTGTAACAAAGTATTATATTCCTATCTTGCCTTTGTCTCAGTAAACCATGCGTTTCACTCCCGTCACACCTACTCGACAAGTCATGTCCTGATAACTTTTTAAAAAAAGAAAGCAAAAACATCTGGAGCCTTGGTTCTGGTCCAATTTCTATAACCTTTTAAAGATTTTTCATAGAACAGTTAATATATTAATGACTACTGTATTTACAAAGTGAATATAAATCTTTAGTTAATACGTTAAATATTTTCTTTCAGAATTTCATTAAAGGTTTAAATGGAACAGTAGAGTGTACATTTGCAGCGTGGGTTTGATTTTGCTGGCTTGCACCTGCTTTTATGACAATCAACAAACCATAACTGTACTCTGCCCGGTCTGTTATTGTGAAGGGAAGCGGTGTAAGAAAATCTGCATTGAACAGGAGGGAGCACAGTGGAATGTCTATTGATTTGCATTCATAGCAGATGCATAAAAAAAAAAGCTTAGCTGAGGCCGATCCCTTTCTCTTTTTAAACAATTATTCCCATAGGCACGCGCACACACACACACATCCACACACAGGGATCTCCTTAGTGGCAATAAAAAGTACTTTTGCCTGGCAACTGACAATAGAAGTCTTCTCTTCCTCTGACTGGACGTCTGCTCGCTCTCCTGGGCATCTACAAAACACCGCCTGCCCCCAGCTGATCTGGGGATGGATGGCCGGGTATGTGTGAGTGTGTGTGTGAATGACGGTCCTTTTATGGGAGGGGACGAGGGAGGGTAGAGAGATTTTGGGTGAGAGGGGGGGCCAGGGGGGGTGGTGTACAGTCTCACCCAACGGCGGGCAGAGGCCTACAGACTACAACAGCTGCCCTCATTCTCACTGCACCAAACAAAAAAGGCTCCCCCCCGTACTCGTGGCGTCTGGGCCACCCAGGGTGATTGGGGGGGGGGTTGGCATCTCTTCCTGCCCAATGGGGCCGGACCTGAGGCCCAAACCACCCGGGCTAACTGCCCTTCACCTGCGACCCACATTCTCAGACGACGCTCTGAAAGACGGTGGATGAAAAACCGTCCGCTGGCAATGAAGTCAAGCGATACAAAACGACGAGAAGCCCAGAAAACAAAAGAGGGACCGCGTGGAGCTCTGATCGTCTGCTGGGAACGCCGGGGCCGTTGTGTGCGGGCATGTGAGGAGGTCACATGTATTACGGTGACACAGTCCAGCTACCACACTCTGCATTTCCCTCGTTCGAAGAAAAGATAAACCGGTTCCAACGGCTCCTGTGTCCAGTTGCGTCCTTCCCCGGGGGATTCTGGGGTGGAGGAGAGCCTATTAAGTGCATAAAACTGCCCGTGAGCTTCTTCATGCCAGGCCTTGAAAGGAGCACAGTGTTTCCTGTCTGGCCTAAAGTGGGTGAAAACCACAGTGTTATGGAGTTTCCCAGCTGAGCGGTGGAAGGTGAGTGTATGTGTGTGTCTCAGACTGTTTGGTCTATGACAGGAGAGTCCAGAGGGAACCTAGCCCGTGTGAGGAGCAGACGAGTCACTAGTTAGCTACCTGGTGTGTGTTTTTTTTTTTTTTTACAGTTAGGGTCTTTCTCCGGAGTTGATATTCTTTGACGTGTTGTTGCGTCTTTCTTCCTGCGTTTTATGAGCAAAGCAAGAAAAGCTGTGGTGAAATGCCCGGGCGGTTTCCTGCGGTCGCTGGTACTGGGGTGTCGGGGCTGTAAGTAAGTGACCGAAAAAAGGGGGGCGCTGCCCGGCGCCAACGTGTGTCTGAGGTGGTGGCACGAAGAGACGTCCGAGACGAGTCAGCGTCCGAACTTATCTTATCCGGTCTATAATCTTAAAGTCTGTAGCTCCAGAATAGAGCAAGAAGGGATGGGGAGGCGGGCAACTGTCGTGGGAGGTGGGGGTCGGGAAGGCAAATAGAGATGGGGTGAGTTAGTCTCTACTTGACCTTCACATCTAAAGCAGCTGTTTGTTCTGTAAAAACTATAAATTATATCAAACGTACATGCCCAAAAACAAAAACAGAAAACTTTAAATACGGTTTAAAGGAGCGAGAAAAATAAAAGGATAATAAAAGAAACAGAAAACTTCTTTTTTTTAACTGATGTTAAATTACAAAATCAAAAGTCAGTCCTACGCTGAAATACAAGGTAGGGGTGAAATGCACAACCTTCAAAAGCAGCCTGACGAGATGCAAAGCTCCTCTCTGCTTTAGGCTGATTTGTTTGTGTCTGTAGAGTTGGCGGGTGATCGGGAGAGGAATGAGGCAGGCGCCTGTGAGGGGGGGTGGCAGTTACTTTTGGCCAGCCGCAGGGGCCTCCGAGAAGGAGGAGGGCGGGCAGTGGGAGTTAGGGGGTCCGGTTGAGGGGGTGAGAGGAGGAGAGGGGCTGCCTCCCGCTATGGCAGAATGGACCATCTGCTGCTTGAGCTGAGTGATTGTGTGCTCCAGCTTTTCCCGCGCCTCACGCTCCCGTCGCAGCTCCTCCTGCAGCTCCCGCCGGTCCGTCTCCGCCCGCTCCAGCCTCTGACGCAGCTCCGACAACTGGGAGGAGAGAGACACACACACGAGGTCAACGAACGCCCGAAGCACATTTTGTCTCGCACGTTCAACGACAATCTGCCATTAAGTCATGCCGGACGGGTTATCGAATGACGAGGTTTAGCAGGACTCATGCTGGAGATTAACAGAGAGGGATTTCAGTTAATCTCCTCCTATCAGAAATAGAGAAATACAGTAAGACACAAAACAGACGCAACATAGAATATTTAGATAGCAGCTGAACTGTTAGCTAGTAGGCTGTCATAACAAACTGTGCTAAGTATCACCGGTTATCTGTTGGTGTTTCACTGTATCTTGTGGCAGACACATTCCCACAGGAGAGACCATAACCCTCTGTGTTACTCATCCAGGCATCAGGTCCTTCACCTTGTGTACTAAAGCCTACGGCCACGACCACCGTGCTGCCGCAGAGCAGTAACAAGAAAAGATTTAGAAAACATGATCGATTCTGACTTCAAGTTAAATGGGGTTTAGTTTCAGGCCGGTATTAATCTCATAACAGACTAACACACACACTTTCCTAAAGGCAGACGTCCTGTTTTTAGTGCAAAGGGAGGCGGGGTAACTTCAAGGATAGACAAGTGGGGGATGCTGCAGACCGGTGCGCAGGCCAACATAACAGAACCTATCTCAAGATTAGTCTTGTGGAATCCCAAACAAAGGCTCTCTCTGTGTGTATGTGTGTGTTTTCCTCACTCGTCTAAAGCTTAGTCACACATAGTACAGCAGCGGTTCTGTAACTTTTTCTGTCGGGCCCCAATTCGGAGGAAGGAAAATGTTCGGGCCCCACCTCTCCAACAAAAATGTAACAAAATGGTTCATGCTGAATTTTTATTGAAACAAGACCATTTTGTGACCCCATGTGTGGTTTCATTAATAATAGAAAAAATAAAATTGAAGTCACTTTCATGTACAGCAGATTGCTCAGACAAAAACAAATAAAATGTCACTTTGTTGGAACAATGCAAATAAAGTTCTGCAAAAAAATAACTAATATTTGTCAAAAATAGCTTATTGTCCTTGAGCAAGACACTGAAGCCCCAGTGCTTCACAGCAGCACACTGCTCCTTAATTACTAAGGATGGGTAAAATGCAGAGATTAATTTCCCCCTATGGGAATAATACAATATTATAAATAAAATAATTATTAAATAAAAAAATGAATAATTATTTAAAAATAATTCTACAATCTACATTTCCCCGGGCCTCCCACCTGTAATACCTCCGCGCCCCACCAGAGGGTCACGCCCCACAGTTTGAGAACCACTGTAGTACAGGAAGGATATGGTTGAAAAATACATTTTTATATTAAATAGACACATAAAGCTTGTCTTTACGAGTGCTGGTAAGGAACTTACTGAGGAATAAAGACTTGTTTGTAATTGTTATTAATTATCTCATCCTGTGAATGTGCATGCAAATTCATTCCACAGCCCCATGAAGTGGAATTCTTGAAATGATGTAAATTAATACATGTTGGAACATTTTTCTCCCACACATGTGCATGGTCATAAATTCCTTTAGTGATTTAATTGGGGAGGGGCACTGTGGCGTCTGAGATAAGAAATGGCCTCCAATCCGACGTGTTGATTCACTCAGTGTTTCTGTTGCCAGAATCAGTGGCAAGCATACATGTGTCCATACATGTGTACATACATGTGTCCATACCTGTGCGGCGTAGTGGGCCTCTTGCTGGCGTTGTGCCCCCGGCTCGCAGGCGCAGGCCTGCTGTCGGAGCTGCTCCAGACGGGTCTCCAGCTCCAGCTGTTCCTGGCGGGCCTGGCTGAGGTGCCGTGCCTGTTCACTGTGCACCGCCTCCAGCTCGCTGCGCAGCTCCCGCTGCTCGGCGCTCAGCTCCCGTAGCCTCGCCGCTTCGCCGCCCCGTACCGCCTCCATCTCCTGAAGATGCAGGGGAAATAACAATGGTAATGTGATATTCCGTGACCCCAGTAGAGGGTTCTGTGCGGCCCACGCAGAGGTCAAATGCTTGATACCACAATGGCAGTGAAAGACAGGCTTCTGTTTAAATAGACATGCTGATAAAATATTAAAAATGGATTTAAATCAATTCAGTGGGATGACTTGTGTAAGAGGAGGAAGAGGACAGACTTCAAAATGAAAGTTTTATGTAAGGCGATATACATATAACTATTTTTAAAATATAGTTTTTTAAACAATTTGTTTATCTTTATTCTGTAAACAATATTTTCTTGATGAATTTAACAAAGCAAATGCAACTCTCTAAAAAATCCCATTGGTGTGATTAAATGCATGGACAGGAGACAGCTGTAGATGTCAGATGTGAGCATCACATTCACATTCATGTCAAGGACACTTTTAATAGGCCGGGACAGTTATGGTCTCATTTAAATTGGCCTTTGTTCTTTTTCCAACCGCCAACTCACCATTTCCAGCTGCAGCTGCTTGTGCAGGGTGGAGTTGAGCTTCTCCTGCTGCCTGCTGTACATCTGCATGATCTCCACAACTATTTTGTCCTTGTCGTCCTCCAGCCCCCCCACAGCAGCGATGCTCAGGGCAGACCCCTTCTCCTTTGCCGCTACTTCCGCTACCGACGACATAGGAGCATGAGGCGGAGGAGGGGTGTGGGCGGGGGTGTGGGTGGCTTTCTTGCGGCTCTGACTGCTTGTCTCCATGGAAACTGCCTGGGTTTGGCATTCCCGCTCGCTGGCCGAGGCAGCACGTTGGGATTTGGCCTCCTCGGCGCCAGCAGCAGCGGGAGGCGACGCATGTAGATCTGTGAAGGGAGGAAGAGGAGGATGAATGGGAAGGAGTTAACAAAAAAGAAAAAAAAAAGGACATGGTGGTTGAAAGACGGGAAGTGGGAGCCGAACTCCTGCCCACACTACGGTAACACCCTCGCACAACCTCATAAAAGCTCAAACCACTTTCTCAGCGTGAGCGAAAGCACAGCAGTCGACACACAGAGAGAAGGAAGAGAGAACTCAAAGGGCCTTGTGTGGGATCTACGCCACTCTGCATGGCCTCCTCCTCTGTGGCCTGTGGCCTCCTGGCTCGTTCGCTCACTGAGGCTCTTAAAAGAAGGTGTGCATCACGGGGAAAAAGATCAAACAGGCGGTGTCACCCTCTCACACACACACACACACACACACACACACACAAAGACAGATGTGTGCAGAGGCTGCTGTGTATGCATGTATGGGCTACTAATGACTGTGCGATAGAATGTAAAAGCTCAAATAGAATAAGAAATAGTGAAAGAGGGCATGAGAACAGAAACCCAGGTTGAAGGTATGACAGAATAATCTATTTGTAGAGTAATCACGGGAAATGTGATGATGGTCTGAACGCAGCACGTCTGGCACTGGAGAGCACACTCGTATTACCGCGCACGTGCATAGTACTTCCACATGCACGCGCCTCGCAGGACACACGGCAGTCAAAGCGGACACATTACAGGAGTGGGTCCTTTGGACGTGCATCAAAAGGAAATGGCATGGGAGGAGGGGAGGGATTGGGCGGGAGACAAACTGAGGGAGGAAATCATTCATTCAAGATAAAGATGAGAATGAATAGAAATGAGGATGTGTGGTGAAGGGGGAGATGAAAGAAGCGAGAGAAAAATGAGAGACGAAGATAGATGGATGGGAGATAGAGCGCGGGAGCGGACGGAACGCGGACTCAGAAAGGACGTGGAACAGGAAGCCAGGAAGAAGAGCGGATCAGAGGATGGAGCAACGGACCAATTGACTGGAGAAGAAAAGGGGGGCAGAAACACCCAAGAGGTATAAGAGACGCAGCCTGGCCGTCAGACATGGCGCGGTAATGATAGACGGAAGACATTCTCATGATTCACCCCCCCCTCTGTCTCTCCATAAATATACACACACATCTTGTCAATGCAGCAGCAATAAACACACTTTGACATGCACTTAAAAACACACGCAGGGTAGGGAAGAGGTCACTGCCACCACCCCTGTTCATCAATACCGAGGTGCTGCCAGAGTCTTTATGTAAAGGTCAATGCGGGATTATGTGAATCGCTGCAGGCTGGAAGTGTGTGTGTGTGTGTGTCGGATGGTAGCTGACTGTACTGTAGCGTGAATGTCTACAGCGAGAGCACGTGTCTGCTCTGCATGTCTCATCTGCTTATGCGTGTAAATCACTATGTATGTGTACTACGTATTTATAGTCAGCATGTGTCTGCTTTTATGTTTACGTGTCTAGTGTACATACGATGTACACAAGAGTATGTAAGTACCTTTTTTGCATATGCATATATGGCCAATAAGGCTGATTCTCTCTGTACTGCTTATCCGATATTTCACCTCTTAAGTTATCCACCTCAGTCGTTGTGGTCGTTCAAAGGTTAAATATAAAGTCAGTGAGGTAGCTTTGAGTTTTGGGCGTACTTGAGGCCAGATTGCATTGAACATTGAAACTGGTCAAACGCAGGCAGAAAACATTGTGTAATATAGAATTCAGAATTCGGTCTCACTACAGCACGTCTGCCGATGTGAGTCGACACAGTGTGCCTTCATGTGTGCCTCATTACTGACCCATGGGTGGCTCGTCGTGGCCCAGCGCTCTGTAGCTGTAGTGGTGTTTGAGCAGCGCACCGAACATCTCGGGGCTCATCTCCGCCTCCCTTTGCAGAGACACGTTGGGAGCCACCATCTTATCGTATGTGTACAGGTAGTAACTGAGAGAGAGACGGACACAAAGAAAGAAGACATTTCAATAACTGAACTGATTCCACATTTACATATACATTTTAAAAAGTACTGATAAAAAAAGGTGAACGTACAACAGCATAGAAATTTATTCATTTTCATTTCAACTGCGAGTGCTGCCGAAAATATACGTATTGACTCAAGCATCGGTTTGATATTTGGTCTTTATTATTCTGTTTATAATGGTAGCAGTGTTACCTTTCACATACTTCACATACATACCATCTTTGCAGTGAACATCTTAAAATTTTACGAGTTCTGGACTTTGCATTGCTCACACACATAAAGCTTCACATCCCTGCAATAACTCATGTGGCCCTTTCAGCTCTCTTCAGCAATAAAACACAGCGGAATTAAACAGAACCAAACTTATTCGCTAGCGGTTCAGCCTCCATTAACTGCACCATCTAACGAGTTAGAAACATAGTGTGGAATATGGATAGGTCTTATCGTGTGTTTACAGGATCTCAGCCTAAACAGACCTTTGGGCTTATCACAGATGTCCAGGTAGTGGGTACAACTGAGAGAGAGATACTGCCTGGAGAAGCACTGAAGCCTCTGAGCCAACACTATCTGTCTATTCCTGGCTGCATGGTGGGAAGGGAGGGAGGGAGTAGAGAGAAGAAGAGAGAAAGAGACCGAGTGACAGAGAAGCAGATGGAGGAGAGAAGAGAAGCTCTAAAAAAAACCTCCCCCACCATCAGTCCCCTCCAGACAGAGCTGAAGCTGTGAACTGGGTTAAGCATGACAGCTCAGTGGGGCTCTGCCTGGATGAAAACTGCAGCACTACCAACCAGGCCTCGCCTCCCTTCCACTGGATGGAGAACGCTCGCCTCAACAGGAATCTGTAACGGCTTCACATGAAAGAAGCGATTGAATAATGTACGCCGGGGCTTGTATTTCACAAGTGTACCACTAATGGATGAGAGGCATACCCAAATACGACATTAGGTTCTGGGGATGTCAAGCACGACGTTCAGCCGTAGCGGCGCATTATCAGCAACGCCGCAATGCCCCAGACTGCAAACTGGTCTGCGCAACTCCTGGCTGGTTTGGGAGTGTAGTGGTCATGTGACCAGAACTCTAATCCGGCCAATTTGTCTGTCGTGTGAGCCTCCACAAAGTCAGTATGTCGAGGCGCCGTGCACCATCTTAATTCATTTTTTCTAAATCTGGGTCAGATTACTGCGTGAGGCTTCACAGCACCATATCCAGCTAGTGTGATCGGTGCAGGAATGGAAGGAGAAACATAATAAGAGGAGAGGAAACAAGGGCTCTGAAAAGGGAGGGAGGGAGGGAGGGGAGTGGCACATGTAATGAGGAGAGAAGACGAAGAGGGACCAGAGCAGAAGAGGGAGTGCGGCGCCAATTAATGAAATTAAGGATGTGAGTATTTAATTTACTCGGAAAGAAACTAAAGTTGAACAAAAACTTTACTTGCTAATTATTTCATAAAGGTGAGCAGAAAATGCAGCAGACTAACAACCTCAATGCAAATAAGCACAAAAATAACACTTAAAAGTACTGTTCTTCTTATAATATGTCTTTGTATACTCAATATCTTTGAGTTGTGGACTGTTTGTTGGAAAGAATAAGACATTAAGAAGATGTCTGTTTTGACTCTCAGAACACATAATTGACATGTCTCACTATTTAATCATTTTATTTATTTAAACATTTATTTGTTGCCGTTTAGTCAAATTCAAGACGTTGTAGTACCTGGGATGGACCAGGGTGGGGTGTCCTGGCTCCTCCTTGACGTCTGTGAAAAGGCGATTGAACACCATGGTAGGTGGCGATGTTTTACCCTGAGAATAACAAAACACCAGATAAATATCACAAAACACAGCAACATTATTTTAGGCCACTGTGTCACGGCAATAAAAAGGCATCTTCCGTCAACATTCATTGATCTTTGCGTACCATTCAGCTGAGCAGCTTGAATGCCCACACGCACGCACATGCGTACACACTCATGCCTACACAGGAATACATGGAGAGAAGCGGCAGGAGGTGAAGGCATAGCACATAACTGTGGTATTGGAGCTGAATCCCCAAAAATATATGCATGCATACGTGCAGATGAGGGAGCAGCAATCAGCTGGGAAAAATGTGTGAGAGCGGATGTTGGAGCAAAGAGATAATCATGATGAACGGCTTCTTGTGTGTGCCTGTGAAGTTCTGTTGCTGCGATAGGAGGGGAAGGGACGGGGGAGACTGGAGAGGGAGGCAAGCCTTTCGAGCTGCTGTATGAGTGTATTTCCAGACAGGTCGCAGAGGAGAAGCGTGCAGCTATGAATGGGTGAGCAGGGTGTGTGTCTGTCAGTCAGGGTGGGGGGTGGTGACCCTGACAGCCGACCTGTGTGTAGTGGAGGGTGGTGGGCGGAGAGGGGAGGGGACGTTGCAGCGGTAGGAGGGGAGGGTTGGAAAAGAAGGGAGTAGACAACTGACCTTTCTCGCGGGGTCGGCATCAGTCAACTTGCTGCTGGGGGAGCAGCGATCAGCCGAGGGTTTCCTCACCTGGCCCTCCTCCTCCTCCTCATCCTCCTCTACTGCCTTCTGAAACACACAGAAAGAGCCGACGGTTAAAACACACACACACACACACCAAGATTAAACATGACAAGTACAGCATTAGTTATATTGCTTATAGCGTATGATGAAGGACTCAAGTCATGCACAGAAACTGTATGGGAGTGGGGGACGTACGAGTCCATATGAATTACAACCTCGGTCAAAGAGGGGAAGAACAGACAAACAACATCCAAAACATAAAAAAACGGATACAAATGACATTGAAAAGGGAACAGCTCCCGTGATCTACAGCCCGAGATGGTCCTGATACAGTGTCAGAGAAAACAGAGGCAGCAGGAAGAGTAAAGGCCAAATGAGCCCACTGAGGAAGCCTATGAATAAAACACGTTGATATAGTCAACATGGCTGCAACATGGCCTGTCCTTCTGTGCCTCTGCATGTGTGATTCATTGGTGTACACGCAACGCGGCAGGAGTCAGCCGCTCTCTCTCTCTCTCTCTCTCTCTCTCTCTCTCGCTCTCTCTCTCTCTGTGAAGACATATTTGTGCGTTCAATGTGTATGATTCATTGTGCCCCCGGAGCCATGTGGGTTTAGTAAATACTGCTGGCACTCCCCCCACCCCCCCCGAGTTATATTTATGTGTGTGCGTTGAGCAAATCCAGCACACGCTTAGCGAGAGGCCGCATTCTGATGGAGTCGATGCTTATCAGGGGCAGACGGGCCGGACACTGCACACAGAGGCTGCCTGCATTTCGCAAACTTTCTACCTAACTGGTAGCACCGGCACAAGCGGAACCACACTTTATGTATAACCGGTAGCCCACGGCAACAGACAGAGAGGTGCCGAAACGGGAGCGAGAGACTTTAGCTGGGAGTGGGGGGAAAAAGAAAAGTGAAGAAGGAAGGAGTGGTATAGGTTATAGAAAGCATCAATAATTGACTAACTGACCGCTTAGAGACGTTTCTGAATGTTTAACCACAGAATGCCCATACACTCACCCCAAAAATACACCTTTCGGCAGTGCTTTTAGCATTACACAGCTGCAGATCAAAACGGCCAAATTGCAGTGGTGGACAAGAATTGGCCACCGACCGTTAGAAGTAGCTAATGCGCCGGCAGGAGGTTGAGCACTACGTTACAAACATGAGGATAATCATTTCCCACCTCAGGTTGAAGAAGAAAAAATAACTATTGAATTATTAGTTTTATTATGTGTCACAATAATTGTGCATCTACACAACTATCTACATCTGTATAAGGTAGCCTTTTTCTTTTAAAGAAAACAACATGCATATGCATAGCCAGGTGTTGCTGTGTGCCTGTGTGTTTGTATATACATATATAAATATAGAGGGGGGCCCATCCGCTTACGAGCGCTCGTGGTTGGTGTTTTTTACTATTTATTTTCTACAGAAGGCAGCACTGCAGCACCAAAGAGGAGGGAGGGAGGGAGGAAGAGCGAAAATGGGAGGCAGAGAGAACGGGATGATGGGAGATAAAGGGGAGGCAAAGGGAGAGCGGGATGAGGGCACAGGGTCAATATAGAGAAAGGAGGGGAAAGCGGGAGGAGAGCTGGGTCATTGCAGGCTTGATTCCCTTCCAAAATCAAGGTCTGAATGTCTGCTAATGGCACTCACTAGTACATTCCTCTAATCTGAACCACCACCCCCCCTCGCTGCGTACGTGTACAGGAGAACAAAACGGACACAGGGAGCAAGCGTGTGGCCAAACTGCCATTAACAGCAGGTCATCCAGGGATCTTTCATCCGCTTGACCCCTACTGACTGACAGCTCATTAAAAAGAAAGACCTGAGTTAATGCATGTGCATGTGTGTGCAACAAACAACAAAGGAGTGTAAGTGCATGTGTCTCCACATATGGAACATACATACATGTATGAGCTTGTGTGTTCTGCTAATGGTTGCCCATCTCTTTCTGTATATCCTGCTCACAAGACAGCAGACTGCTTACGCTCCTGCCCACAAACACACTCATTATCCCTGCTGCTCCATTCCTTAGTAATGATAATAACGCACTTTTCATTCAAAAGAATCTCAGAGTGCCACAAAGCCAGTATATATTAATAGAAAAACATACATTAAAGGACAGTGATTTAACACAAAGTATAAGACGCTTTGCTGAATGAAACGGTTTTAGGTCGGTCTTATAAATTATGAGGTGTGCGGGTCAAAATTCTGCACAATTCAACACAGATGGTTTTCTGCCCCCACGCCCCGCCCCCTGTTGCCCGTCGCTCTTGTCCCCTCCACTTTCCCACCCGCTAGCCCAGTTTTGTTAACACACACACACACACACACACACACACACACACACACACACACACACACACACACACACACACACACACACACACACACACACACACACACACACACACACAAACAGCTACTCCCCTATTTAGAATAATGAAACAAACCTCTTATCTGCTTCTAGGAGACAAAAGACACACACGTACACAAACAGCCACCAACCACCTATGTTTGCACCCCTTTGTCGAGCCGAAGCTCGCCTTATGACAATGTGGATTAGCATTCCACACACTCACTGGACTGAACTCTGCCCCGTAGTTCCTAATCACAAGGAGTCTGACTGTCGCTGTGCAAGCACACGCACACACACGCACATGGACACACACACACACACACGCAGACGTACGCCCGCACACGCTTACTCACACACACACACACACACACACACACACACACACACACGCACACACACACACACACACACACACACACTTCATTCGGGCACTGTATAAAAAAAAGATATGATGAAACTTACTGTTCTAGACACACCGGCGGGTGAATTTTTACCACCGATCCATTTCCTGAGCCCCGGTTTTAGTTCCCGGACCATTAACACACGTGACGTCTCTGCTGTGGACGCATTAATGGAGCGGAGAATGTTTTTTTTGTGTGCAGCCTGAGTGCCGTTAAATCCAACAATAACAAGCAGCACTCTACTCCACAGACTGCCATGACGGTACATTACTATACACAGTCTGCGGTACGCCGGCGTGGAGTAAATTCACTTCAGTGTTTCTAGCGTGCAAAGCACCGACTCTTCATTTGAATCAGGAGGACCTGTTACCAGTTCCCTTTTCAATGCTCTTTTTTTTTACTTTAAATGAGGCCTTTGAAATGGAGGTTGACATTCAGTGTAATTTAAAGTATTTTTTCTAAGCTGGGGATGAAAATCTGCTCAGAGAGTTACACTTTATAATTGGCTGTTCTGGTGAAAGCACCACCATTTGATTCATAATGAGTTGATTCCAATTGGGGTGGAGGCTTAAAACTTCAACTAAAGTTTACAGATTTCAGATCAATTTATTTGTAGCAGATGAAGGTAGGATAGTCTTTTTCAACCGGATGGTTTGGTCTGGTTTGGTTTCTGCCCTCGGGTTCATTTTCATGTTTCCTATTTCAGGAACGTACAATTTCACAGTTTGACACATAATGAGGAAGCACCTTTGAGCCATTTTGGCCAATCCAGATAAGTTGATAAGTTGATCAAATGATTAATTATAATTGGGTCACTTCTCAAGCACAAATGCTAAATACTTGCTTTTTACATTACAGTTTTCTACTGGACCATTGTAGACTGAATATTTTTGGCTTTGGACAAACAAGTTATCTTAAAGTTCTGAGAAAATTGTGATTATTATTATGTTATCTTAAAGACAAAAAAGGAAAAACAGAGACGAATCTGGAGATTAACCAATTATACAACCTCCATTATCAGGGTGCTACTTTTAAGAAGGTTGCATGAGAGAATATGTCCTTTGAAATGGTAAAAGAAATCACAGGATATGACACAATGTTTGCGTGTCATAAGCCTAATGGCGAATCTTATCTGGAGCAGCATAAAAAAAATTTAAAAAAGTGTGCACGCCTCGGCCCGACCTTTCATCTCGCAGCGGCAGGCCCCTCTTTCAATCCCTTTTGGTGCCTTAAAACAAAAACACTGCTCGGCCCAACCGTCTGCACATCTGTTGAAACGCCGGCATTATCGTGTATGAAAACAGAAACCAACCCCAGGCGAGCGCCACGATCCTGCTCACGGGACAGAAACAGAGGGAGGTTCACAAAAAAAGAAGAAAAAAAAAAAGAAAAAACTGTGCCACCCATCCTCCTCCCTCCGAGCCATTCATGTGCCTGGCATTCAGAAGAAGAGGTGGGGGGGCGAGGGGAAAGCAGTAGGCGAAAGAGGAGGACAGAGTAATGCAGCTCATTCTCCTTTTTTTCCTCTCTCATGAGGAAGTAAACAGCCTTTATTTGGGAGCCTTTTCATTCAGCCTCAGACGGTGAGGGAGAAAAGGAGGAACACGCACACACACATGCATAAGGAAACGCACACACAGCCAGCCAGCCAGTCAGTCAGTCAGTCAGTCACGCCCTGTCTGTTTCTGGACCACATCCTGTTCTGCTGCATTTGTCGACTGTGTCAAAGATCACGCTGCAGATATGAAGATACATGTACTTCCTGGTCCAAGTCATGCAAGAAGAACAACACCACATTGAAGCATTTGCCCGTGTGGCAGAAATTTGTTTTATAACTTCCCTCCATTCCTTAAAGTTTTAAACAGTGGTCTACATAGCGTGTAGCCTTCTGCTTGTAGAGGGGCTCTTGTGTATATAAAAAAGGACACATCTGTCTTTGGAGTCTTATTATTTCGTTGTGGTTTACTGGGGATCGCCGACGCCCCCCCTCCACGGAAGTCTTAATCCAATAAGCCATTTATCCACGGACTGAAAACCCACAAGGGAACCAGGCAGCCAAGTGGGGCATTTAAAAGAATATGCTTTGTTTTTTTAGTCTGCATAACAAGTTATTCTCAATGAATGCCTTGTAATAATCAATTACATTATTTTCATGCCTCGTGTTAAGGGAGTTTGACCCCCTCATCTAGTGCTCACAGGAAGAAAAGTATTTGCTGAGAAGGTAACATTATTTTTATTTCACTTGAAATTAGGACAAAGCGGTATTTTAAAACCAGAT